GCCCAATACTCCCGTACCGTCCATGAGGAATTTGAGATCGATTTCCGAAAGATGCCATATATCACCTTCGATGCGTGGACGATAGGATTCTAGATCAACATGCTCAAGAATATCGTAGGTTGAAGCTTTCGTATCCACAGGACTATCCAAGCCACTTGCGCTATATCCAGAATCTGCTCTCCTAGGTTTGAATGTCGACATCGTTATTGGCATAGTCTCCAGATCTTGAACTTTTTCTCCAGTATTGCGTAAATCACCAACCACTCGAACGACCAACTGCGTAGATCCATTTGTAACGTAATTAATAGGTAGTGTATCGACCTCCACAACTTCGATAGTTTTTTCGTCGCCGCCTGCAGCAACACATCTTCGAATTGCCAGTAGTTTTGCCTCCTCGATTTCTTCTTCTATGGTCCTTTCCCCGGGTGTAACGACAGTATCAACATTACCACTAATCTTTCCAATCTACACATTCAAATTAGTTCCATTCCCAGGGATGAAGGACATAATTCAACTTACAGCAGCTCCAACTGCATTTGCGACTTCCAAATATTTTGGTCTGATTACTTCTCCTACTCCGGCAATATCCTTCCCTACAATAATGCTGCCTCCGCCTACAAGAATGACTGTAGCATATCCTTGTTTTGTTTTTACTTGATCAATCGCATCTTCCAAAGCTCGTTGGATTTCTGAGTGTCCACCAATTCTGAGTTTGTCGGGAATGATATCGGTTCTCTCGTTCGATAATACAAGATCAGTAGCCTAAACATGTGAGTATCTTCCTTGGAGCTCAAAAGGGTAAATCATACAGTCAAAGTTTCTCCACCAAATGCGATACTCTCCATTTCTAATTTGGGACCGACAGAATCTGGACCAACTGTCGTTTTTCCTGACGATGTTGTACGTATGAGTGACCCTCCACCCAAGGCAATGCTATAAACATCGGGAATTGTGAAATTGGTCCTAACCCCTGCGATTTTCACAAAGGCGGCAGATTGTCTTGGGTAACCGGATTTGAGGAGAGCGCAAATGTCAGTGGTAGTGCTATAATGTGTCAATATCATTACCGAGAATGGTTAAAGGAGAAAGTTCTTACCCTCCAACATCCACCACTAGAACTTCGCTATCGCCCTCAAGATCCATACATTCATTCTTCGCAAGAAGTGCGGCACCCCTCGCACTATTTGTTGGACCGGAAGAAAAACATCTCACTGGATGCTCTGCAGCTATTGATGCTTTACTCAAAGTTCCATCATTTAATGTAATATATAAGCTGGCGTTTTTAAGGTCATGCACCGCATGTGCAAACCCGGCAATGACATGACGGGCAAATCGTCTCAAACTTGCATTTAAAATGCTAGCATTCTCACGCTCAAGAAATCCTAATCTTCCAATGGTATATGAACATGATATATCATACTCTGAGCCTAATTCTTCGGCGAGGATCTGTCGAGCAAACTCCTCTTGAGCTGGGTTGGATGGAGAGTATATTCCAATAACCACAACACTTGATATTGATTTTGATCTGATAATTGAAGCTTGTTTTCTGAGTTGTTCAACGTTTACTTTGGAGATTGGGGTTCCGTCAACTTGAATTTATTAGTACCTATGTGAGAATTTGAAGATATCTATCAAACATACCTTGTAGGCCGCCATCCACATAGCCATAGTGACCTTCCATTAACTGTCTTAACGATGCAGGGAAACCAACTAAAATCCTAAGTGTTAGTTAATGTTTATTTAATGGAGAGTGGTCGACATGTAACGTACCAAATGGTGGTGAACCCCTCGAGTAAGGACCGCATAACCTTATAACGGCCACTTTATCTAATTTAGAAGCATTTTGTTCGAGGACTGCATTCACAAATTGCTACAAAGGAAATGGGATTAGATCTTGACTATGAATCACGGAATATAAACGATGAGAAAGATAGGGAAAGAGTAGAGTCAAACACAAGTATACTCCGAGAAGGACCAACATGAGACTTTTTGCTGGGGATACTTCGGAACGTAGAGGAAATCGAATGTTAATACCCATGATTCTCAATACGAACCAAGGTAAGGAAGGGAAATAGGAAGTGGGAAGTGGAAGTGGAAAGTGGGAAGCAGGAAGCAGGAAGTAGAAAGTGAGTGCTGAACACAAGATTAACTTACTGTCGTCCCAATCTTGATGAAATCTATACTATCTTTAGAAATTTGAGCATTTTTTATGACAGCAGCAATTGCTTGTTCAACACCATCTTGAATATCTGGGGTTGTTGGTGTCTTATGCCATGCCAATACATTATCATTCTGTAAAATAACTGCATCCTACAATCAATCATCAGTAGATGTTAATGGGAATATACTTCAATCGTCACCCACTGTATTGGTTCCTCCAACGTCAATTCCAATGACACGAGAAGATATTCTGGAGGGCATCTTGCCAATATCCGCTAAGTTCTGAATGCTAAAAGAATAAAAATCGATATTGCTGTCGATGTCGTTGTTCGTTGTTCGTAGCTTTATTAGTCGTAGACGAGGTCGAAAATGGATTGGGTATCACGAGTTTATATCAAAAATATATTGCCAAAAAAAAAACAATGAAAAGGGTATAATGGATAAAAATTCAAAAAGAACAAAAGGAAGCAATGGATGATGAGATCTTCTTCATATAATAAAGATGAACATACATGATCAAAATTGGAGGTTTATTATATCAATCATTTGCGTACATAATAGTCTTCTCTCCTCGCCTACAAAAGTAAGGATATCCTTTTTTGGTATGTAGGCGTAAGGCGAGCGAGCGAGCGATGACCCAACGAGGAGTGGGAACTCTGAGATAAGTTCACATATAAGGTAGCTCGGCAGGTCCAGTACCACGTGGACTTTGGGTAATCTGCAAGATATGCGATGCAGGTAGGTATTTTGAGAATGGATGGCATTCAAGGTTGATTCCTTTATCTTTCCGACGAGAGTGAGATTGTGAGATTGTGAGATTGTGAGATTGTGAGATTATGACATGAAGGGACAGTAGTGAACAGTAGTGAGCAGTAGTGAGCAGTAGTGATCAATTGGGATCAATTGTGAGTGGTACTCTAGACTCTAGTCTCGCGTCCGTACATCAAACCCAAGGAATTGATACTAGTAGAAGTGGGTGTTTTGCATGAATTGACTTTTTCCGTGACATGACATTCATTCTCTTCTTTCTTGGAAGCGGCCGAGGGCGAGGGTGAGGGTGAGAGCGTGGGTGGTGTAGAGGTGGACGTGGGCGTGGGCGAGAAATTATGGAAGATGGCATTATTAATGAATATGTCATTTGGAAGCTGGTGATTGGTTGAAATTGCTTGAAGTGTGGGGCTGTCGGAGAAAGACTTGATCAATTTGAATCGTGTTGGAAGAGAAAATCGGAGATAGGCGAGCATAAATGACTCGAAAAGACATTTATGTCGAATTAGTGAAAGTTGGTGAAGGTGGGTGAACATTAGTGAAATGATAATAAATGAGGGATCTGAGGGGTGTATGTAGTGAATTGGGTGTATTTTTGGTATATTTATCTAGGTGCACGGGTATCTTGGATAGAAATTAGACGAGGTAAGAAGAAACCAGAATGAAGTAAGCCAGCTCGAGGCCAGGTAGGTGGGATTTCATGGCACCTGGGCATTCATCATGTCATGGGATAAAAGTTATGCATGGAGGAGGTACATATGCACATAGGCACGGAGGAGGTACCTACCTAGGTAGGCACGTAGAGTCGTAGACACGGTAAGTATACTTAACCACCGAGAGCCACTTGAGCAAGGTGGAGTACAAATTGCAACAAAGGTTGTCTGGATACCGCCTTCCCCTTACAACAGGCAGAATGATTTGGACCGAATCCCCAGAAGTATAAAAGATTAAAAATGGATACCTAGACCCTCAGGCACTAATTTAGGTGTAATGGGAGCAGACCGGTTGCAGGAATCACGGGGATAATGACGGTGTAATCCCCTCCCTCTTTTGAGTCCCTTGAGTGCCTTGAGTCCCTTGAGTCCCTTTTTCCCCTTCCCTGGGAAAATGCGACTCTGGGAGACTGGGATAAATGAGCTCATATACATATATACGGAGTATATATATATATATACACATACCTACTAGGTAGTATTCCTGGTAGATTTCTCGCACCAAGGATGATCAACGGCTATTAATAATCCATTAGGCGGTTTACCCGCTGTTTGGGTAGAGAGCCGAGAGAGCACGAGTCGGTATGTAACGGCGGAGTCGAGAAACATGTGATGACTGACTTGACTGGCTTGACTGGCTTGACTCGCTCCACCCACAGCCCAGGTATCTAGCCTTACACACACGGAGAAGAACATCAAACGAGTGATCTCGGCGCAGTGGAGAGTCTTTCATTTAGACTTTCCCTTATCCTGGGATTTTCCTTACCTCACACTTTCATACCGACCCTCAACAGTGGCTCGAGAATGAGCAAGATGGGTCCGCGACAAGGATCGGCGCCAGTACTGGAAATTGAAGCAAGGGAAGAAAAAGAAAGGTTTGAAGAGAACGAGAGAACGAACTCCTTCATGAGTTCCGCCGATGTTTATCAACAAGTGAAAATCCAATCAAGACCAGCCAGTGCGCAAATCAATGCTTCTTCAACAACCCATTTCCGGTTACATCGTCGGCTTGCCCTGCCATCTGCCATATGTTTCTCCGCCTCGAATCCGCACACTTACACAAAGTAGGTAAGAAAACACTAAGAGGCTTGCGTACCGTTGCTTCAATCGGAAGCCAGTGAGATTATTGAAAAGCTTTGAACTCGGTACTCCGTCGGTGGTAACCAATTTTGTCAAGAACCGCATACACCGTTGTGGCCAATATACTATTCAAATTTGCAGGGCACATTCTAGTTTCTAGGTTTGTTGAAATCAGTTTCATACTTCTTTCTACCTTTTCCCGGTTCCTCTTCTTCAATGTCCACTCTCCTTTTATTAGCTTCTTTATCTTTGTCTTAGCCTTATCCAAACTCCTTCATCATGACGGCTGCGGAGCATGAAACCGTTGACAAGTTACCCTTCACTGCTGTGGCCGCTCCAGATTCTTATCAAAGCGCTGAAGATGGAACAGTTGGGACTGAAATAGGTAGTGCGCCATCAAATCACGTCTTTCATGCACATCAAAAGGATACAGGACCACCTGCGACAAAGAAGGAACTGTGGTCGTATTATGCATACTATGCAGGAAATAATGGAATCGGCTCTTTTCAATAGTAAGTTTGACTGGTCCATCCATCCATCTTGTACATCCACCCCTCGATCTCATGCGATTACTAACACCAGTTGATCTTCAGCTCGAGTCTTCTCTTCCAGAACTTGATATACCAAGCCGGTTTTAACCCAAACGTCTTGCCATTGGGTAGCGCACCTTGCGGCGATGATACCCCTTGCCATGTCTTCTGGAATGGAGGCACAAAAGCATACACATCGGTGGTGTTGATAGCATCAGGATTGACCTTCGTTTCGCAAGCTGTTCTCTTCCTCTCGATTGGGAGTTTGGCAGATTTCGGTAATTGGAATCCATGGGTTGTTAGATTGTTTTCCCTTCTTTCATTCGCCTTTGAATTCGGGTTCTTGGGAGTACAATATGCACATCAATGGAGAATCGCCATGGCTCTTTACATTATCAGCAGTAAGTTTCCAATTGGATCACAGAAATACACCGTGTCTAACATCACATCCAGGTGTTACTTGGTGGTCTTCCTATGTTTTCTTCAACGCGATATTTCCCAAACTTGCCCACGACCTTCCCGAAGTTCATAAAGCGAGAGAAGATTATGCACAAGGTACATTGACAGAACAAGAATACGAAGACAAGTGCTCAATGGCAAGATCCAAGGTTATGAATATAAGTTATGGGTGGAATAATGTGGGATTCACAATCTGTGGAGCTTTAGCATTGGCAGCCTTAGCAGGAATTGGTGCGAATGATTCCACACAACAAAACAATTGGGGATACTCTGTATCTGTCGCTGTCACGACTGGATGGTGGATTATTCTTGCCATTCCATGGTTCATCTGGGAAAAGAAGCGACCGGGACCACCTCTACCAAAGGGTGACAATTATCTTACCTTTGGTTTCAAGCAAACCTATTTCGCCGGAAAACAGGTATGGAAGTTGAGACAAACTTTCTACTACTTGATTGCATTCTTCTTATTGGCAGATGGAGTCGCTACATTACTTACACTCGTCTCAATCGCGCAAACGCAAGTTGTTCAATTCTCCGCGACACAAAATACCTATCTCATCATGGTTCAAGGTGGCTCAACTACAGTCGGAGTCTTCGGTGCCTATTATCTTCAGGAAACACTCAAGATCCGTACTAAGACCATGCTACAATTTTGCAATTGTGGTTGTGTACTCATTGCGCTTTGGGGAATGATAGGTTTGTGGACCACCAAGTTTGGTTTCCATAACGAATGGGAGTTTTGGCTCTTTCAAGCACAATATGGAATTACCCTTGGTGCTCAATTTCCATATGGACAAGCATTCATGGCAGAATTAGTACCCAAAGGTAGAGAATATTTGTTCTTCAGTCTTTTAGGTATTGTCTCCAAGGGATCAGCATGGATTGGACCCATTGTTTCAAGTGCTATTGTTGATCGCAATGGCAGTGAATGGGCAGCATTTCCTTTCGTGGCAGCATTGATATTTGTTCCTACGGTTGCAATCTTTTGGATCAGTGAGACAAAAAGTAGAGTTGAATGTGCAGAGTATTTAGAAAGGGAGAGGACGGACTTACAAAAGATTAGAGATAATGATTTGAACACAGGCAGATCTGATTCTACGGAGAGTAGTAGAGGATTGGATAAGTCGACATAAATGGGCATATGGTTCAGGGTTATGATGATGATTTCTACATGCTGATGCATTTCTACAGAGTACTTGTTTATATTTAAAGATATAGTTTAGATTTTAATTGGATTTACGTACATGTCTAGAATGACAATCTTCTGATTCACCAAACATGAACATGAACATGTACCGGTACATGAACATACTACAAGGTTTACGGTATAAGGATTCGAATCCTACACCTACCTGACCCATCAATCCATGAACGAAATCCCCCATCTTCAACCTTCCATAGATTTCCAGATCTTCCCGCAGGCCTCCTTTCCTCCCTTCCGGCATATATAATTTCTCGATTCAGACTCTTGCAGGTAGAAATGCCGCAAACTATTCCCAACCATCTCAAGCTAAAGGAAATTTTACAGGGTTTGATCACCCCGCACTAATTTGAAATATTGAAGAGCGAACCAATTATCGTACAGTAATTCTTGGATCGATGAAACTATAATGTTGGAGAAAGGTATAGTTGACCCGTCAGGAGTTTAGAAAGCAAGTTGGAACCCACATGATCAATATCAAAGTCAAAGATTATTGAGTCTATGACGAAGGATCAGAGATCTTGATGGCTCTAGATGTTTATCTCCAAAGATTTTGAATTTAGGAAGTTGTTGTAGCGGTAGATCTGGAAGAGATGAAGAGATGGAGCAATGAAGGGGTTCATTGCAATTAGACGAATTTTTCCATACAATTCTATGTCGTACAAATTCAATCAATGATTACCTAGTAATCTCTTTTTCAAATTTTCATATAGATTATAATTTACTAGGGATTATACGGGATACTCCTTTTTTTGATTCTCTTTCAGCTTCGTACAGATGGATGTCCAAACATTGAAATATTGAGTGTTATTTATTGTCGGGACCGGACTTGGCCAATGAAAAGTATCGAAAGCTTCAAAAGTGGCTCTGTCGTATACATTCTAATCTTCTTCAAGTAAAGCTTAAGCGCCAGGTTGTTCACACCTGGTTAATAAATCGACAGGCCATCACAAAACTGCAACCTCAAGAAAGTGGACTTTACTCACGAGTCACTACACTGTGTTCGTGTTGCATTGACTCTTTTTTGCTTTTACAAATCAACTACTCAGTACACATTCGATATCGGAAAACGTCGACGACTTCAACGTTTTATATCCTCTGTCCACCCAACACTACAGCCATCCCTTCCTTGATATGTTCAAAGGGAAAACGAATTTGAATGCCTCTAATACCAAAGTAAATATGGCTCCGGGAATGGGGATTAAAGCCCCTGTACCTCGAACAAGAACAGGTCCGTTCACGTTCCTTTTACACATCAATCATCAATCTCATCCATATGGCAATGGGCATATGGCTTCTGGCTTCAATTCTGACGCGTTCAAGGTTGCTTAACATGTCGAGCAAGGAAAGTGAAATGTGATGAGGGGAAACCAGACTGTGGTCGCTGTATTCGCCTTCAACGCGATTGTAAATGGAGTACACCTCCAGCTCACATGCTCGCCACGACATCTCATGGTCATGGAATCTCCAGTACCAGTTCACTGCCCACCACTCAACAGCTTGCGCTTGGTAAAACACGTATTCCCAAAGATTCGTTCGTTATTGAATTCCCCAATATTGATAAAACGACTATGCCCTATATTCATCATTTTGTGGGGTTTTGCACCAGATTCTTGGCATATGCAAATGATGATGAAGGGAACCCTTTCAAAGAGGAATTGGTACCATTTGTAACGACCAGCCCGGCTCTATTACATAGTATTATCGCAGTGGCAGCAGGCCATATGAGTAGGACTGACAAGCAGCATGAGGTTAAGGCTACCAAACATTATTCCATGGCTTTGAGAGAACTTAACACGGCATTATGTGACAATTCAGTTGCGAAACAAAATGCCACATTGGGTGCTTGTCTTTTACTATGTGTTTATGAGGTAATTCCCTTTTTGAGTTTACTTATATTATGAGACACGTGGCTTATATATGATAGATATCACATTCAGATAGAGGTTTATGGTTGGAGCATCTGAAGGGTGCGCGGGATCTCATCTTACATCGAGGAGGTCCTAAAACGTCGGATTTCCTCACAAGGTTCTTTGCGTTACTTGATGTTTCTGGTTCTCTATGGGCAGGACAAGGTCCTCTATTACCTGGGAATTATTGGCTCGAAGATGCCCCGACACTATCAACAAGTCCAAAACAAATTGGCGATTCGCCTTCATCAGCAGAACCAGCTTTGAATTGGCCATATTATGACCCGGGCGGTGTTATGACTGGAGAGTTTCATGTGTTTATGATCTTTATGGCCAAGTTATCTCGTCTATCCAGTCGTTCCCTTGTCGAAACATCAGTCGAAGAACAAATCATCATTAAACAAGAAGCCCTTGGAATCCAACATGAAGTTCAAATGTGGTGGCAAAATTGTCCGCCGATGCTCCGGGATCTTTCTAACGATTGGCGACGACAACCACGCGATACTAAACTCACCGTCGCGGAAACTCTCGAAGCTGAAGCATTCTCTAGTACAAAAGCTTGCATGTACGGATGCATCCTTTTCATTCATCATATTATTAACCCAGTTGGTGAGGAACCACCATCTCCAGAAGTTTCAGAGGCGATCACACAGGTTCTAGATATTGCTGCTGAGACACCAGAGGGTTATGGATTGGAGATGGGTTTGTATTATGGATTGTTTGCAGCGGGAGCAAGTATCTTTAATGATTGGGCGGTAGAGGATACTGTTAGGAAGAAGTTGAAGGCTGATACCAGGATTGCACTTTATGTAAGTTTTTTGTATTTTTTGTGTATGGGCATGATGAGAAAGATGATGAGGAATTGAGTTTCTGGATTAAAGCTAATCAAAATCATACAGCATGCTGATCGAGCCTTGGAATTACTTGAAATCCTTTGGAGAAGGCAACACCAATATGAACGCAAATTTGATTGGAGAGAAGTTCAACAACAAATGGGAATTCACATGTAAGTTTTGTTCTTGTCGATCATATTTCCTTTTCTTCACGAAGCTTTATTGACAGTATTGTAGATTTATTCTTGCTTGAAGATATACTTTTTCGGGTGTATAAATTTTGAAGACAGCCCCACCAGCAAAATTCCAAACTCGCAACAAAATTGTGCGAGTTACGGAAGGACCGGAGTTCGCCACCAAACGGAGGGGTAAAGTGGTCCGGCTTTCTTCGGGTATGCAATAGAAGTGACTAAAGTCATGGATATTCCATTGGTGTGAAAATTATGCAGATACGCAGGGACTTGAGTGGGCATGAATCATGCCTGTAATCGGATCATCCAAATGAACTCTTGGGGTATTTGATAGGTTTTACCTTCCTTCGATTTCCCCACCATTCTATCAATCAAGGATAAAATCCCGAGTTCACGAATTTTTGATCGAATTAAAGGGTATCGGTCAAGGACTGCGGAGAAATAGATAGGACGCCACAGCCGGGTTTTGGAAAGATGGACAGGAATAAGTTCAAGGGTACTGATATTGGAGTCAAGAATGGCGGGACGAATAAGGCTACTATTTTACTTCTTGGTGGTACAGGAAAGGTCGCCCGACGAATCGCTCCTCTCCTCTCTGACGATGGATACAACGTTCTTTTAGCATCTCGATCCGGATCATCTCCAGTATCACTGCCAAACACTAAAGGAGTTAAGTTCGACTGGTTGGACACGAATAGTTATGATAATCCGTTTATCTCATCCGAGGGGGACGGCGACGCGAAAGAAAATTCAATCGAAGCGGTTTTCATGATCGCTCCTCCTGTTCTCGATGCACTTCCTCTGGCTAAAAGGTTTATCGATGGAGTAATTAAGAGGGGAGTAAGAAGAATTGTATTTCTGAGTGGGAGTATACTACATTGTGGGGATGGACCAATTTTATCTCAGATGTCTGAGTATATAAAAGGAAAAGGAAAGAAGTTTCAGACACTTGAAGAAGAATCGAAGAATTCCGACCCGAACGGAGTGGAATGGACGATATTGAAACCGAGTTGGTTTATGGAAAATTTCTCGGAAATGCACCATTTATATACCATCCGCGATGAAAATCGATTAGTTTCAGCAACGGGTACAGGGAAAATCCCGTTTGTGAGTGTAGATGATATCGCAAATGTGGCGCGTAAAGCACTCATTGGGTGGAGAAGTGATGATTTTGAGAGGGGATTGATGGGGAAGGAATTGGTTTTGAGGGGAAGTGAATTATGGTCTTATGATGATATTGCTGCGCTCTTGACGGAAATGTTGGGGAGGGGGATCAGTCATGTGGGTGTGGAGGAAGAGGAGATTGTTAAGGGGATGCTGGAGGGTGGGGTGGAGGAGGGGTTGGCGGGGGTTTTGGGGGAGCTTGACGGTGCGGTTAGGAGGGGGGAAGAGGCTTGGTTGGGGGGAGATTTGGAGGGGATTATTGGGGGGAGGGGGAGAGGTGTGAGGGAGTTTTTGGAGGGGTGTGTGAGGAGTGGAGTGTGGGATGGGGGGTGTAGGGAGTAGGGAATTGGGGGAGGGGGGAGGGGGGATAGGAAGAGGGGAAGAGAAGGAATGGTGAGTGATTTGATATTGATCAAGTAGTAGTTGAGTTGTGCATCTAGATTTGCATTGAAATTTAGGGAAGAAAAGAGTAGGGAAGAGAAGGATACATCGTTTTTTATATAAATCAATGAATAAATGAGCATATACTATGTTATTTTTTCTGAAAACATATTCATTTCAGTTATCTACGTTTTCCATTTCCAGTCGAGTATACTATATCGCGGATCTTCAACTCAAGGCCTAACCTCCCGTGTGTGTGCTCTCCAATACCTTGTCTGAGCCACCCACTTTCCACCCATCATTCAACGCGGCCTCTTCCTGATCTCGAACTTGGTAACGAGGAATCGCTACTTGAGGATTCGCTCTCATCGTTTTCTCCCTCTTCATTTTCCGCTAAACGATTTTAATCCTATATTTAATTTTCTACATTTAATTTTCTACATGAGACAAGATGAATGAATCATCGAAGGAGAAAATACCACACAAGATACACAACACATTTCAATCATCAGTTGTAGACGGATCATACTCCCGGTCATGTGGCTACCGCAATATTGCTTGATGAATGAATGAATGAATGAATGAATGAATGAATGTGAGAGTGGGAGATATATCGCGCTTCTCCATCTGATTCTCCGTGACAGCGTATCTCATCGTGTACCATACATAAACAATTCCAGTCATATTTTCCTTCTTACCAAATCCACAGATTCTATGATATGATAAATATATGTTGATACACGATCTCACATACGCTGCGAGAATAACATGCAAGATAAGATAGACAGTCGAGATGTGATTGATATATGAGAAGTGTACATACATACATACATACATACATACATAGTTATCAGCAATATAGCTCACGCTTGGTGCTCGTGTGCGGGGGTGGTTCTCGTGCCGGATCTCGCACTTTGTCGTCTCTTTTTATATTTCGGGTTGTGTGGTCGAGGAGTATGTATGTATGTATGTATGTATGTATGTATGTATGTATGTATGTATGTATGCATGTATGCAGGATGATAGTCGGTCTTGAGATAGATAGATGGCTTGCGCATATCATGAGCTGAGGGGTTTTTTTTCATTTTTTTTTTTCAATCCTGTGGTTGGGTGGTGTTGAAATTATGCTTCTGTATTTGTGGTTGGTTTATTGGTTGTCAAAGATGTTGGGTTTGTGTTGGGGGTTTGAAGAGGTGATTCTTATGTGTTGTGGATATGTATGGGTTGCTAGTGGTTGAAAAGGTCAGTCAATCTGTAAGTAAGAAGTTGGAGAAAACACTACACGTGCAAGGACTTCTCTGAGTGACATCAATAGTATTGGTACGTGAAAGATTGAATTTTGTCACTATTTGCCTCAAACAGACACCAGAGCTTCGCATTGTTCGGCTAGGTGTGAATGTTCTTGTAGTATAGGTATGGACTACATGTTGCTTCATCAGCAATCTTACTCACAGCAGGCAAACCCCATCAGCCACGATGCAATGCCAACCTGGAAGGAAACGTACACAAGACTGCCCCGAATATTCTGCATCGCTCGTGGAATTTTATTCTAGTTTCATCTATTGCGATGGGAGAGAGAAACATTCTGTTATTTTAACAGTACAATACCATCTCAAAGCGACTTGCTAAGAACGGGCAACCTCATCGTGAGTACGGCCAAGCCGCTGTGCCAACTCTGCGAAAGGATCAATCCAAGTAGGATGCTTGCAAACGAAGTCAATGAAATCACAGCTGGCTTCGTTAGTGACTACAACAAAAGTCAAGACTGTTCATTCTATGCGCTCATTTCTAGAGCGGCGTCTTTGGCCTGCAGAAACAACTCTAGCGAAGATTCACGCTCGGTTATCAAAACAGCGTCACAACTGTTCATTCAGAGCCGGAGCCCTCTCGCACTCAGAGTAAATGGTCGCACGGAATATCCTGCACCACGGTTATTGCTGGCAACCAACCAACAAACTTCAAGCCAGCGGAACAATCGGCCTCCTCTACGAGAGATTGACCGATGCGAAGACAGGTTCATTTTTGCGGAAATTGAACACTTACCCAACTTCGCTGATAGTTTCATCCGGCGACGTGCTATTCCGAGCTCTTTGGATGTTTCTTTAGTCCAAAAATGGTTATTTAATTGCAATGGCCATGAGCATTCGAAGGTGCCACTAAGCAGGGCTAGCAACACACTTTTCCATGGGCAATACCCCTTCCGGTTGATTGATGTCGTAGAGGAATGTCTAACAAATCGGAATGAACGATGTGAATACACAGTATCATCTTACACACGGGGAAATTCTGACACTATTCTGAATGCGGAAAAGAATACTAAAGAAGCCTCAATTCTTGTCACAACCCAAACAAATCTAGACACGCTTTACAGTCCACATGCTTTATCCTCGCTGCGAAGAGATATACTTCAGGATGGGATTGTTCCTCGCACTGTCCGTGACACAATGGAACTGACACGCAAGATTGGGATTCGATACCTGTGGGTGGACACACTTTGCATTGTGCAAGATGACCCGGATGACAAATCACGACTAGTGAGCGCGATGGGCAACATCTACAATGGTTCTACACTCACCCTTATTGCAGCTGTAGGTGACAATCCGCATGCGGGACTGCGAGGAGTTAGTCACCGTCCTGATAGTCCCATAGAACCTTACGAAATTATCGATCATGGCAAGTTATTGACGCTTTCTCTCTGCCTGCCATCCTTATGCGAGGAAGTCCGAAAGGGCAAGTGGTACAGTCGTGGTTGGACATACCAGGAGCAGTGCTTGTCGCAGCGCTGTTTGTACTTTACCTCGAACGAACTTTTTTTTCAATGCCCCGAAAGCCAGTGGAGGGAGGGATATGACTGTATGGAGCAACTGCCATCTCAAGACATTCAAGTCCGCACCGGGCCTCCATGGTGGAGTAAGAGACTCAGAAAAGACCCCAATCCTACTCCCTATCGTTACTTGGGGGAAGTCAAAGCGCACTTGCAAGCCGAAAGCTACCTAATGGCAGTTCAGGAATACAGTCAGAGAAACTTAAAACATTCGAATGACGTGCTTGATGCCTTCGAAGGCATTTTTCATCGATTCAACAGGCCAAAGAATCTGTCTAACTTGAGCATTCATCAGACCCAAGGCATTCCAGCCGATGTTTTATCTCAAGCTTTATTGTGGTTTCCATCGAAAACCTGTCAGAAACGTGTAAGAACCACTCAGGCTAGGATGGCTGTAAAGCAGTTCTCGACATGGTCATGGTACGTGATTATATATCCCTCCCAAGTAAAATCTTATCTAGTTCCATTTCCTTATTCATTGATGTCATTGTAGGGCTTCGTGGATTGGACCTATCGAATTTATATTTGCAGAGAGCCTTTGGCTATCACAAAGCATCTCTCATGCCCCGCGCAAAGGTGTTCCGCTCCATGTGTGTATTCCTCAATGGCAGGTTGGCAACTCGACAGAGAAAATATGGTCGAGTTCTGCGTGGAAGAGCGCGGGCAAGTACTATTGCAGAAATTTGAGGCGCTTTCCTGATACTTTCTCACCCACCCAACAGTTTCTGGGTAGTTGTATTGGAATTGATCTCCCCTGGTTACTCGATCAGTCATTCACAGCGCGCCGATCCACACTTGAATGCGGGCAACTTAGGTTTCTCGCACCATATTTGAGATCTCGAGAATTTGTTCTTTCTGATGGCACCGATCAATCGATCAAGGTATTATCCATATCTGCAATTCATCGCGGCGAGTTTCGGTTTGATGATAGGATGTTGATTGGGCCGATAAATGAATTGGTGATGGTATTATGTACCAATACTGTGACCAAGCCCCCCAGGGCACTAGGTGTCTTTCTTGGCCTCACTACTTGTAAAGGGATCTCGCGCCGCGTTGGAATTGGATTTCTTAACTTTTCTGGAGACGCGAAAAGACCCAAGCCATCATGGGAATATAAATCATTTACCATACAATAAGATGATCACATATAATAAGAGCGGGACAACGACAAAGCCATCTAATACTGGCGATATGAATGATACATATCTGAAGGTCGTCGCTAGTATTATAACGACTCTAGATTCTACACTCAAATTAATAATGTATTTTCAAAAAAATAAGCGATTTTTTCTATCTCATTAATTTTGAAATTTAACTTTAATTACTTCTAGACTTATCAATATATCTTCAAATTGAATAAACTCTTTAAAATAATTAATATCTTAATTAAAGAAATCGACAAATAATTTTATAAATATATAGAATAAATAGTTATAGAATTGAAAATGAATAGAATATAAATTCGATTTTGAGATTGAAAATTAATATATTTCCAAACTATTTTCAAACTTTTGTTTCGAAATTTCCAATTCGATTAATAATGATTTAAAACAATCAAAAATTATATAAATAATATAATTCATTATTCTCTATTATTTAATCAAGTTTTCAATTAAATTGGATTACAATTGATAAAAATATTATAGATTGAAATTAGAAAATCTAATATTTAAATGTTTTTGATAAAACACTGAAATTTAAGGTTTTGGAAACACGTTATTAGATTGGGTGTATGAGATATTCACTAGACGCTTTCTCCGAAAAATAGAATAAAGCTTTTAGAAGGAATGTATTTGTATTGAAGTCTTGGGAACGAATAGGGGGAGATGGGTATCCATTGTTTAACAAATGAATAGATGAATGAATAATAAGAGTTCTGGCCCCTACTCACCGCACCCCTGTGATAAATATAATAAAATCCCTATAAAAATGAGGTTTTCTTATACAAATTATTATATTAAATATTTTATTTAAATCTTTATATTTTCTTTTCTAAAAAATTGGAAATAATAAATAATTATAATTAAAATGTGAAAAATTATTCGAAATATTTTTCACTATTTTTGTTGAATAGTTATATAGTATTGAAATCGAATTTTTCGAAAAATTCTAATATGTAACGTTTTTTCTATACAAAATAAGCGAATTTTCATAAAAAAATTGAATTTTCAACTTTAAATCTTTCAAATTCTATTTAAAAAATTAGAAAAAAATATTCTATTCATTTTTTAATAAAATTTTATTAATTAAATAACATTTTCCAAAAGAATTTCTAATTTCATCTTTTATTATAAGAAATAAACTAGGATATAAAAAGTTGAATAATTTCATATTTTAGCCGGAAAAGCGTTACATGTGCGGTGAGCAGGGGCCAGAACTCTTACATTTATTTTCCGAATACATGTTTGCATACTCGCATTTAGTCCCTAAGTCGTGGTCATGGTCATGGTCGTGGTTGTGGTTGTGGTTGTGGTCTACTGGTGGTCGTGGTTATTGAGATTAGGTAAGATACTGAATTGTGCTGAAATGATGACTGTGATGAACATGAAGGTGTATGGACATGAAATAGATGATTCGTAGTACTTAAATAAAGTAAATCGATGAAGTAGACATAATGACTGGAAACTAGAAGAAAGGGATGTGAAAGTAAGGCTGATAGGCACTCCTCCCTATAACATAAACATGAACAAGAATAACAATACCCCGGTTCTTTATTTGATATTCTGGAATCCGTAGACTTGAGATAAGGAGTTGAGAAAGATATCTTTATTTCTATTGCTTACTTACTTATTTGCTATCTTATTTGCTTACTATCTTAACGACTGTCAGTATGTATTTGTATTGTATTGTATGTAATCTTATACTCGTATATAAAATCGAGTATCAAAAGCACGGTTGTAACTTCCTATCTGTAGATAGACAGACAATGGTGACAGACAGACCGGTTGACTCATAATGATTGATGAATAATGAATGGCTCTTGAGGTATTTCTTCACTTTCATATGTTGAGATCTCTTTTTGTTTATTTTCCTTGATTTCTTCTACACTTCTATGTCATGTAATCGATGAGGTGTTGAAGTTGACAGTTTGTTAGATGTCCGGATGGATGTGATGGATGGATGGATATTCAAGTGAATACTAGGCAGATGAATTGATATCATCTCTTCGGATTTCGGAATAGTTACCAGATAATGAGTTGACTGCCAAGTCTGCAGGCACATCATTATGATCACATCCATCCATCCATCGTATTGTATTCCAATGCTTTATCATTCAAATTCCCGAGTTCATCAATTCTTGTTGGTTCAATATTCAAGATAGTGAGAATGCATTCAGCATTTCGGCTATTCCATTCCGTGGAAGAGCGATGTTGAGCGTGGATACCCGGGATTGTCAATATTCTAATCAGTGTTTCCAAGTTCCAAGTTCCAACAGCTTGCTGGCTTGCTGGCTTACACTCCCGAGGTCTGTCTGAATGAAGATGGATGTCGAGATAAGGAATTCAATTCGTATCGCCCATCGGAGGAGTTTCCTCATTCATCTAAACGATATCCTCGTGCTTACCTAGCTATGCATATTCCTTCATCGGCAGGTCAGAACCTAAAAGATACATCACGAGTGCCTTTTGAATGGAAATGCTTTGATTGATTGAACGGCTTGGAAACATTACTCGTGCTTTTCAATGGAAGTCTTTTGATTGATTGGTTTCTGTTCGCTGCGAGATGTCTTACCATATCTTCAAACTTGTGTTGCTTGTCACTCACTATCAGCTTTAGAAATAAGCGCCGGATAGCAATGTGTTTCTTACCCAGCTTTTGGTATCAGAGAAATAAGCATAAGGCTTTCAGCCTTCGCCAACCTGGGTTACTGATTTGAGTTGATGATTCTGACCCTGTGGCCCGTATCGAATGTCACTACGCACATATCTTTACGCTTGGCAAATCAGTGCAACGTTATGATTTCTTTGGCTGCTCAGTGGCTCGCCTCCAAGCATTCTTGGAAGAAGCTTCGAAAGCTTCGCCTCGGGCTTGCAGATTGTACCTACTTGGGAGCTTGGAATGTGATCATGATTATCATTTTGATGTGGAGGGAGGGGAGAGAAACTGTGAGAATCGAAAGATCGAGATATGGGAGAGATATGGTATGGATGAACTCGGACTCGGATGAGGTTAAGGGATTCGGGTTCTCCACCTATTTCTTATCATGTATCAATAGCTTACATCTTACGCCTCTCTCTATCTCGTATCTCATCCATCACATAAGGTTATCGGTTCATATCTACCTGGTATAACTTGGAAAGAAAAGACGAGGAGGCGAATTTACACTCTTTAGAGTATAGAGACACGTGCGTGGCATTTTATCTTGGGAATTCGAGTCTTGTTTGTTCTTGTGTATCTATTATTAGTTGCATTAAAAATGTTCACAAATAATCAAACACAATAAATAATAATAATATCCTCACAATCTCCCAATATTTCACCATATCTCGTTTTTGCTTATCGTAATTGCAAAAAGGACCGAGGTGACGAGGATGGCACTCCCATCTCGGTCCAAAAACCCCCATCGGGTATCAATTTCGAACGCCTCCAACGCCATGAAATAATTCTATCCACTCATCGATCACGACATTCATGTTTAAATCTAGTGCTTCAATTGCTTATTATCCAATCCCTAGCTATCCCCGACGATTTGGGGGAAAGATAAAAGACAGACCCCGGGTGGCTTCCCGCCACCAAAATCAAACCACCTTACCATGCCATGATACCAAGAGGAGGGAAACGCTTGTTGGCTAGATCTAACGGCAATATTAAGTAAGACTGGATAGGTCTGAAAAGACGGGCGGCTCATTTGAATAGGTACATAAGCTTCTACCTGTACCTAGTATTGCCAAGTCGACTCGGTAAACAAATTAAACCTTTTTTTGGCAGGTGAAAAGACCTGTAGGCAGTTCCATCATTCCAATTTCGTATGCCCAGTCTTCTCGGTCTCGCGTTCTTGACATAAGTCACATAACATCTTGCCAGCTTGTTATCCCGGGTGTCTAGGATAGAATTGTTCCTGTTCCAGTCCAGTGGTAGAGAGGTATTTGTGAGCCGAGTTCACCGTTCGCTCATACCCGGGTTCCCCAAAAGCTTTGTTCGCCTCTGACCCTCTTCCTGTCTGGTTTACTGCTCGCGCGACTAATTTCTTATCGGATTCTCTGCTTGGCAACATTCTCAAACTCTTGGCGTAACGTTACCTTCCTAATGTGGAGTAAAGAGGAGATGATTATTTGTTGGTGGTAAATTCGCTTGACAAATGAGAATGATTTGGTTTAATGAATTTTGATAGAGATGAAGGACCACGGTTGAAGGTGGGTTTTGGGGGGTGATATTTGAGATTGGGGATATGATTGTGTGATGAGGCTGGTAAGGTGGATATTGTGGAGGGGAAAGGCCTCGCAATTGCCTTTGTCACTCTTGTGGGTGCTGCAATTGAGGTGGTACTGGTGACTGGGCTGGTCTTTGGACGCACTAGGGTCATTACACTGTATGCACGACAGCTTTCCATAATCGGGTGAATACAAAACTATCCGTACACAATACACAAGTGTGCTACCGATTGGCCTTGCTCTGACTATATTTGCCACAGACAAGGAGGTAGCCTGGTCAATTCAGAACCTGGGGTCTGAGTTTATATCTTCTAGAACGATTTGATACCTGCTATGATTTGTTCCGTGCGTTCAATATCACTTACACACCTTCCTATCTAGGCGATCTCCGTAATGGATCAGCATTGGAATGAGTTCACAAAACACAATCGTGAGAGCTCGTACCAGCTGATAACGGTGCTGATTGGTATGGCGTTCCCGTATGGGAGGGAGGGATATGACCCCATGCTAGCTAGGAGTGCATGGGAGCAGCATGCGAGATTCTCCGAATTGGTTGAGGGCTAGGATGGTGAATGGGGAACATGGTGAATTAAGGTGGTGTAGCTTGGGATTCGATGGGCACGGCAGCGGTATATTTATTCTCGTGTTTCCCCTCCTCGTGGTTTCGTTCTTTAGTCGCACTTCTACGACCACTCTCTTTACCTGTTGTGATAAATCAACTTCGCAAAGATGGGTAAGTAATTTTTTCTACTCAATCATGCCTGCTTGGTGATATTTCATACAGGTTACTGACATTCAAAAATAGTTGCCCAAGAAAATATCACAGCCGATATCCAAGGCGCGATGCTAGGCAGTGATGCTGTCCTAGCTCTCGACCAAAAAGGATCGTTGATTCACACAGCCTCAAGAGAGCATCACCCTAAAGTCGGTCTCGAAACTGAAGCCGCAATAGTCCATGCAGAGGGCCATGGACACGACCACATCGATCCAGAATTAATTCCTACTGAAGAGGAGAAGAAAACCCTCCGAAAAGTAGCTGGAAAACTCCCCAGTATCACTTACTTAATCTGTGCTGTCGAGTTCGCTGAGCGAGCTTCGTACTAGTAGGTTTCCCCTCATTTTGAAATGACATCTGCAATTTAAATTGGAAAAAGTCGCTAACATGTAATTCACTCATAGTGGTTGCAATGGTTTGTTCAACAATTACGTCAACAGACCACTCCCAGTCGGTGGTGATGGTTATGGTGCACCACCAAGAGGAACTCAACAAACTGCCGGAGCTTTAGGTCTCGGTACCGTCAAAGCAACAGCCACATCTCAATCATTCTCCCTACTTGCATATGCCCTTCCATTGTTCTTCGGATGGCTCGCCGATACCAAAACTGGTAGATTCAAGATTATTTGCTGGGGTGTAGCAGTATGCGGTCTTGCACACGTTCTCATGGTTGTAAGTGGTGCTCCTAGTTTGTTGGCCAACGGAACCGCCAAGGGTCCTTTCTTTTTGAGTGTTTACACTTTGTCTATTGGTGCTGGTAAGTTTTCTCCACATTCTAAATCTTAGCCATCATCCGCTAATCTTCTTTAGCTATGTTCAAGCCTAATATTGCACCAACCCTTCTCGATCAAATGCCAAGCGCAGTTCCAGTCAAGAAGACTCTCCCATCTGGTGAAGTGGTCATTGTTGATCCCGAATCTACCACCGAGCGTGTCATGCTTTGGTTTTACCTTCTCGTTAACGTCGGTGGATTCATGGGTGTCCCAACTGCCTACACCGAAAAATACATCGGATGGTGGTTGTCCTTCCTCCTCCCACTCCTCCTCTATGTCCCTCTCCCATTCCTCCTCTGGTTCATGAGCAAACGTCTCATCCTCTACCCACCAGGAGGATCTGATCTCGTCAACGTCTGCCGTGTAGTTGGTATCTGTTTCAAGAGAGGTGGTTTAAGAAAACTCTTCACCCGTAAGGGAGGATTCTTTGAGGCCGCTAAGCCATCTGTTATTGCTCAATCCGGCAACGTTATCGACGTACCATGGAACGACGCATTCATCGAGGATGTCAAGCGTACTTTCGAAGCCGCCGGAATCTTCTGTTTCTTTCCAATTCAAAACATCAACGATAACGGTCTTGGTAGCTCCGCCAGTGCTCTCTCAACTATGTTGTCTACCGATGGTGCCCCCAACGATCTCATGAACAACTTCAACTCTCTCTCCATTATCGTTGTCGCACCAATTCTCAACTACGGTCTCTACCCATTGTTGAGAAAGCGCAACATTCACTATGGACCAATCGCCAGAATGACCACCGGATTTTTCCTTTCTACTCTCGGAGGTCTCGGCTACACTCTCCTCAACTACTACGCCTACAAGATCGGACCTTGCGGAAAATACGGTTCTTCCGAAACCTGTGTTGATGCCGATGGTGTTTCCCTCGTATCCTCCATCTCCGTCTGGTTAATGGCCGTTCCCTACGCCATCGGTGGTATTTCCGAACTCTTCGTCAACGTTCCCGCCTACGGTATCGCATACTCCCGTGCTCCAGCCAACATGAGAGGTCTCGTTTCTGCTCTTAACTTGTTCTCCCAAGCTATTGCTTACATCGTTGGTCTTGCCTGTGCCGGTGTCGTCAAGGATCCATATCTCACCTGGGTTTTCGGTGCGCCAACTATCATTGGTTTCATCATGATGTGTGCTTTCTATTGGATCTACAGAGATATCGACAAGGAAGAATACAGACTCAGTGTCAATGATGAACAAATGCATGTCGCAGATCAACCAATTCATGATGGACAGAGTGCGAGCGAGAAAGCTGGACCTCCTTCATATGAGGGAGAGAAAGGTGGACTCAAGGACAAGGAGAGAGAGCTTTGAAAAACGATAAGCGAAAAAGTTTTAAAGGGGATCGGGGAGTAAGGTTCGGGGGCTCTTTTGGGGTTTTGGGGGTGTGATGATGATTCTTATGATACCGTATGATAGTATGATTTTGGATTGTGGTGATTGGCTCAGAAAGGCTAGATGCTGGCGAGCTATCGCTGGGTAATAAACTTCTTAATGACATTCTTTTATTTAATCATCTGTTTGTTCATTGTTGATGTGATTTTTTGTGATGATGCATTCTCCAAACGGCTATGCAAGGGAACCAACTATTCACGAAAATATGTGGTTATCGACACGAAGCTAAAAGAACGCAAAGGTAAAAGAATGTATGATCGAGTAGAATTTCAAGACATTGCACACCTTAACAGTATAAAGATCTATGCCTTCATCTCCATCATCTAGAAGAGATGGGAAAAAAGACTCCTATCTGCCCATGAAATGTTTTTGTTCACACAAAACCCTCGATCTCACCTCCTGAAACATCTCTATCCCAAGAACCAAGTTCCAACTCCATGTCCGCATCGAATACCTCTAACGGAAGACGGACCTCCTCCGAACCAATCTTCATCATGGATTCCCCTACCAGTTCCGAGCGGGCGGAATCTCCTGAGATATCCGGATCCCACCACATCTACCCATGCAATCCCTCTGAACCACTCCACTTCGTACCCCAATCTTCCTATGTTTGAAATTAAGAATTACCCACTACCAAAGAGGAGCTGAATCCCTCGCAAATATATACAATCGAAGTATAATCAACCACCTCAAGATGTCTTATCAAATATGAATCATTGTTGCCGGGGTAATATACCCGTTACCTCGATTACTTCTGATGTAATTCTTCAATCCCATGATCCTACGGATCAGAAAACAAGGCAGAAATTGCAATACCCCATTAGGATCCCAGTATTGAAGTCAAAGAACACAGAATCGAAATCAGGAAGTCAAGGACTTGAACATCTGATATAAGTAGCAAGATATTCAGATACTTCACTTACTTCTAACTTTAGCACGGATTTTCATCCCGCATTATGTGAGATCTTGGATGTGATTGGGAGGACTCTTTTACCGGATCATGGGATTTAGATGGAAAGAAAAGGAACGGGAAGAATGGGGAATCGACGCAGAGTTATGTAGCTTGAATATATACATATCACTCTTTTCCTATATCATGTTATATGGTGCCAATAATTGGTTTCAACCACTATCCATCAGGTGTTATCCTTCAAGACGAATAAGAATGAAAAACATATATCTAAAATCGTCTCGAAAAGGTAAAGGGAAGGAGTATAACAGCAAATCGCACAAAACTGAACATCACTTTGGGAGTGTGATTGTGTGTCTGCCAAGCGCATACTTGGTTTTGGTTCATCTTGACGTTGATCTCAGTGCCACTATTCAGCAAAACTTTTTGTGAAAAGGCAGGATTTAAGATCATCATACTCAAATATCAATCTAGGCGCTGTCCTTATGGTATAATAGGGGCCAAAAGTCAACGCCCTTGGTTAGCAACATATCCCATGCATTCGCACTCGCAATGCATAGGACCTCGATGGTTAGCAGTTCATTACGCCTGTGTGTGCACTATTTTATTTCCACCAAATCCGGACACTCTATAACTTTATCCTAGCAGTTTTTATTTACCTGGAAGCCTTGTCTATCCACTGAAACAATACCTTACTTCCGACTTTACCTTTTCCAAGGAAGATATTTGCAAGTTGCTGAAGAGCAGAGTATTTATGTCAAAGATAGTCTTATGAGTTATAATTTTACACTTGACGATGACTACACTACCGGTAGTAGAAACAGACTTGAATGGAACACAGGGGAGTCAACGTCCTACGTACTAAAATGTGTCGATGATATTCCAGACATTTATTAGCTAAGATATGATGGCTACAGTGAGGCGTGTGATAGAAGATGAATCATGGATAAGATAGGGTTGAAAAACGAAAAATCCTCTTATGATTATGCATCCGAACATAGGAAAGGTCATTTGGAATGGTTCTCTGGAATAAAAAGTCGAACAAGGATAGAGAATGGGTTTTGAGAATATCAGACTATTCATCAGTGGCAATATGGAAGGACTCAAGTCGGGTGCATGGATATACTTATTGTATGATCAAGCTTTATCATCATAACGTAGACTATGACAGATATTTCGGATGTTCAACTATTGGATATTGATTAGGAAGTGAGTATCGATAGGGAATTGGTCAGAGACAGTAGTCCTGTCAATTTTCGAATCAAGTTTAAACCTTCCTTCAGCGACTCATACCGAAAAAGCCGAATTACCATCAGCCTCAGACCAAAAACAGTGATTGGGGGGATGACCCAATGGCTAACATAAGAATCTGATTTGTCATTTCTAAATGCCCATGCGATGTATTCACAGATATTGACTGATTGAATGAACCTCATGCAGACAATTAGCAGCGATGTCCTGTTACCCTCTCATCATGGGTCGCTCTATGAGTACTACTCGTATGTAACCATTTTAATTGACACCCTCCCTCGAAAAGAACGCCAAATTGAAATTCAAGAAGATAGACAATCTATTGATCAGAGTAAAGTTCAAAGAAAAGCAGCAAATTAATGTGGAGGAAAGATGCAAAAGACGTCGCTCTGTGAGAAACTGATATCGGCTGTGTGGAATGTATGAATGAGAGCATATCAGCAAACTCTTTCTTTTGAGATTAGAAAGAGAGTTACTTCAGAGCTGAATTTTATGACAAAAGAGATATGTGAAAATGAACTTTCAGTAGCCTCTGACGATTTGTCGCGGTGAAATAATGCTGGGTTAGATCATCGGGGAGGCATGAGAGAAGATTAAATAAAGATAGTGAGACTGGGGTGAATGCAACGATGAAGTCGAAAAGATGGAGGAGTACTAGAAGATGGCTTTGTTATGTGGTTTGGTATTAAGTATAAGAGGAAAACAACTGGAATGTGTGTTCGAGAATTTGATTAGAGAATTGGGTGATGAGGACATCAAAGTAAAGCTCCTCGAAAATGACCATAGTAAGACATGAAGATTGTATTATATTCCCAATTTCTACTCCGACGCCTTGGCAATGCTTTGTTTCCCAGAACTCCATCCCGAATGATACCTTTGGTTAAAATCTGCAAATCGTTAGTGAAGCTGAAGCCTTCATATATCATTATATTTCAAACTTACCGTATCTCATAAGACCCTGCTCTGGTCATATATCTCACCCATTTTACACTTGAGTAATTATTCTTCTCAAAGACCTTCAGATATCTAACCAACAGTCCCGAACTTGTAAACATCAACAAGCTAAAGTTCAAACTCAATGGTGGTCTTGACCATGCCTTTTGGTTCGTCATGCTTGTTAACGTAGCTTCCGCGCTCAAGACAAATTCATTTTGGCCAGTAAATCTTGGTATCTTCCATATAATAACATTCTCTTCCGGTACATATTTTGCTTTTCCTTGTGTACATCGATCGGTGATTCGAGCGGTATTTAAAGGCGTAGGTATCTTAACAACGACATTGGTAGCGAATAGCTTGCTACCATAATTTGCTCGAATTGCAATACTGTATTCGACCTTTGTTTTACCAACTTCATTCACGATGGCATGAATTTTAAATGGCAGATTGACATTTTCGGTGGCACGATAGCGCATAAGTTCGAACTCTCCATCGGGAGGTATGAATGAAATAATTCTGTCGGTATCGAATTTCCCTAGCTTAACACATTGGTGAAATTGACAATCCTCCAGTGTAACACTACCAGCTGCTGCTTTGGTGGCCTTGGTACCCATACGATTTCCAGATGGTAGAGATGAAAGACTATCGCCATCTAACAATAATCGATCATTGAGTCCGAATTTGCATTCTGGTGTTCCGGAAAGGTATGCTCTCATGACGATTTGACCATTTACATCAGCTCGTAGAACAGTTCCAGTAGCAGACATTAAAAGATTGACATCTTCAATAACATCTACAAATGCTTCATTCTTTCTGTATTTGACATCGGCCTTCCTCCATGATAAAGCTCCGGTTGCTTGCATTGTAATCTTCGCCGAGTCTTCCATGGTTCGTTCCGATTTAACACCTTCCGTTGTGATGTACATCTTTAATGTATCTGTCTCTGTATTTTGAGGGTATCCAAAATCCAAGATTTCTATGTCGCGAATCTATCAGCTTCCGGCACAATTGATGCCTGCGAATCGCGCATTGCACTCACCATCTAGAAGTTCGTATACCAGGACGAAATTGTTCTTAACCGCTTCTTCGTCAAACTTTCCAAAGTAGCCTTTCCCCAGCGCAATCAATCTATAGAGGAATTCGAAGACCAGCGCAGCATTGGCATTGCTCTTGGTAATTGCAACCAAATATATGTTCTCGTGTTTGACATGACTGAAGGTTGTACTTCCTAAAGTAAGGATTGGTGAACGAACTTGTGCATTGGAGATGACCTGAATTCGGAAGACATCTGCGAGTCGTGGTCGACAATCATTTCGAAATGCGCGAAAGATTAGATTCTCTCCCTTTTGATTGAAGATCAATATGCCAGACAGCATTTTGATTTATATGCGGTTGAAGGAGGATTTGTTTATTGAAATGTCGAGAGAGGATAAGGTGTGGGGAGCCGAGAGCTACGAGGTGCAGTAGATCTAGAGAACAAGCTCAATACAGTATAATATTTACCGAACATCCCTTTCACTAGTGTTCAGGGGTTAAAATGAAATCTTTCAACAATGTAGGTGTGTCGTTGAATTATTATTAGATGATTATGTAGATGATGAGCTCAAAGGTCTTCAAACGTGTCTGCACGAAATTCAATTATAATTTTAGTTGCTTTGTTCATGTGAATACTGGAAAGAGTATGTATTTTAGGTAGCCCGTTTGTTTCTTCCAAATGGAGACAGAGTAATAGGCGTATGTCATCTTCAGGTAGCCTCGTTGACGAGGTCGAATAGAGTTAGCAATATTCGGTAGCTTTCGCTATCTACATGCGGTATATGTCATCACTCGTCATTTATCATTCATCACTTAAAAACATTGCCTAGATTATCTCTCCATCACAAGTCTATAAAAGTCTATACTGGCACACATAGGGTAATTGCTAGCTGTACAGGAATGAGGTATTGAAGAAAACCATTAAAACCAAATGCACATCATCATCGCCCCTTTATCTAATCACAAAATAACATCCTTAAATCATGTCAAGTCTCATGAACTCAGCATGTAATGTCTTTCCGAGCAATGCTGGACTTCTCTCAACAATAACACCTGCAGCTTCAAGAGCTGAGATCTTGGAATCGGCACCACCCTTTCCACCACTGACAATAGCACCTGAGATGAGTTAGTCAAGTGTCATTAGTGGGTATCATTTTTAAGATACTTACCAGCGTGTCCCATTCTTCGTCCAGGAGGAGCAGAGATACCAGCGATAAAGCTGACAACTGGCTTCTTAGCAGTGTTGTAATCCTTCAAGAATTCGGCAGCATCTTCTTCTGCGGATCCTCCAATTTCTCCAATCATGATAATACCATCAGTCTCCTCATCCTCAAGGAATACCTTCAAGCAATCAATGAAGTTGGTTCCAGAGAATGGATCACCACCAATACCAACAACAAGAGATTGACCCAATCCAGCTTGTGTAGTTTGGTTGACAGCCTCATAAGTTAAAGTTCCCGAACGAGAAACAATACCAATACGTCCACGCTTGTGAATGAACCCTGGCATAATACCAATCTTACATTGTCCTGGTGCAATGAGACCTGGGCAATTGGGTCCAACCAAACGAGTCTTTCCTTGAGTCTTCAAGATATCTGTAATGCGAACCATGTCTATATTGAGGTTAGATTTATCCTGTTAAACTCCAAATGTAAACATACCATGTTGTGGGATACCCTCAGTGATACTAAATCATCAATTAGTACAAGTACTATCACATGCAAATTTGATGTATATTCTTACCACACAACCAAAGGAATTTCAGCAGCGATAGCCTCCTCAATACCGGCAGCAGCAAGAGGGGGTCTGCAAAATATATTATATCAGCACCAAATCCATCCTTCCATCACAGATTCTTTGCGATTGCGGTAGATCTTACGGGACGAAGATAGCAGAAGCTGTAGCACCGGCTTCCTTTACAGCTTGTTCGACGGTTGCGAAAACGGGTAAATCGAGATGAGTTTGTCCAGCTTTCTTTGGGTTTGTACCTCCAACAACAGTTGTACCTATTTCCATATCAGAACCTTTTCAATTCCCCCATTATTCGTCTCAAGACATACCATATTCGATGGCTTGTTGGGCATGGAAACTATGGCAGATTTGTCAACTTATTTCGTCAATACCAAATAGAGTCTCGCGATAATACTTACGTTCCTTGTTTACCAGTGAAACCTTGGTAAATAACTCTAGTATCCTTAGTGATACGAAGGTTTTCCGCGGTAGCAGCATAAGCAGAGGTCGAAGTGGAATAACCTTGTCTTCTCATAGCAGCCTGCATCGCAGGTCTGGCACATCTTGAAAAAGCCTGCATCTTGTCTGAGGGACAATTGATGTCAGATATGAAAGACAGGAAAGTGATTTGAAGTTTATCTTGAATTATTTCCTTCTTTTCTTCTTACCAGCTTCTTCTGTTGCGGACGGAATCGCTTGCAAGGCCTCCGATTTTGCCGGATTAATTGGTTGTTCCGGTAGTTTGGCTTGGAATGGAAATTTATTTCACACAAGAACATTAATTTTAGTAACCCCGCGATTTCATCAAAGCATCAACTGCATCAACTCTTCATAACTTCATAACTTCACGATTTACCACGAGAAGAGTTTTGATTTTGAAATACCAAAGGTTGCGCAAAGCCTCAAGGGAAAGGCGACCAGAACTCATCCCAACGTGCAATCGTATTGAACCAACTGCATCTCCACACAATCCAAAATGGCCACTACCGTCGATACAATGACATTGTCAGATAGGCAAAGAAAACCAAAGGATCCTAATTTACCTCCAGAGAATGAAAGATACTTGAGAGCATGTTCAGATATTGCTAGCGCATTAGTACAGGATCATGAATCTCAACAGGATCCAAATGCGCCGAGGAAGGATATCAATTTGAATAGTTTGAGGGCCAAAATGTCAAAACGTCACAGGCTCAGTAATATTCCACCATTGACTGCTATTATTGCCGCCATTCCAGAACATTATAAGAAATATATTCTTCCAAAGTTAATTGCAAAGCCAATCAGTATGTATTTCCCATTACATAGACATATGCGGGGCTAATAGTTTGTCAGGGAGTGCTTCTGGTATTGCGGTTGTCGCAGTCATGTGTAAACCACATCGATGTCCTCACATTGCCTACACAGGAAATATCTGTGTCTATTGTCCCGGTGGACCTGATTCCGATTTCGAATATTCTACACAATCATATACTGGTTATGAACCTACATCAATGAGAGCGATTCGAGCACGATATGATCCTTTTGAACAGGCGCGAGGAAGAGTAGATCAAATTAAATCTCTCGGCCACAGCGTCGACAAGGTTGAATATATTATTATGGGTGGTACTTTCATGTCACTATCTGAAAGTTACAGAGATGGGTTTATCTCCCAGTTACACAATGCGCTTAGTGGATATCAAGGAAATAATGTAGACGAAGCAGTCCAAGCTGGTGAGATGAGCAACATTAAATGTGTTGGTATCACAATTGAAACTCGACCGGATTATTGCTTACAACCACATTTATCTGCTATGCTAAGATATGGTTGTACGCGTTTGGAGATTGGTGTACAATCTCTGTACGAGGACGTTGCTCGAGATACCAACAGAGGTCACACAGTGGCTTCAGTTGCAGAAACATTTTGCTTGGCGAAGGACGCTGGCTTCAAAGTTGTTAGCCATATGATGCCAGATTTACCCAATGTTGGAATGGAGAGAGATTTAGATCAATTCAGGGAATATTTCGAGAACCCCGCCTTTAGAACCGATGGTCTCAAAATTTACCCAACATTGGTCATTCGTGGAACTGGTTTATACGAACTCTGGAGAACTGGCAGATACAAGAACTACACACCGAATGCCCTTATAGATATAGTCGCTCGCATCCTCGCTCTTGTACCACCGTGGACTCGTATTTATCGTGTTCAAAGAGATATTCCAATGCCTTTAGTCACATCTGGTGTTGAGAATGGAAACCTTCGAGAGCTTGCGTTGAGTAGAATGAAGGATTTTGGTACTACTTGCCGTGATGTTCGAACTCGCGAAGTTGGTATCAATGAGGTTAAGAATAAGATTCGACCTTCTCAGGTTGAACTTGTTCGAAGAGACTATACCGCAAACAAAGGATGGGAGACATTCTTAGCATATGAAGATCCAAAGCAAGATATTCTTATTGGATTACTTCGTTTGAGAAAGTGTTCTAAAACACACACCTTTAGGCCCGAGCTTACTGGACAGCCTACGAGTATAATTCGTGAGCTTCACGTTTATGGCTCAGCTGTCCCAGTTCATGCTCGTGATCCAAGAAAGTTTCAACATCAAGGTTATGGTACATTACTCATGGAGGAAGCTGAAAGAATTGCCCGAAATGAGCATGGAAGTACAAAGATAAGTGTCATCAGTGGTGTTGGTACAAGAGATTATTATCGAAGATTAGGCTATTGGTTGGATGGTCCTTACATGAGTAAGATGCTCCCACCAAAGGATGACGAGGATAGTGATGACGACTTTTGATTTCAAAATATCCAAATCCTCGGTCTAGTCGCCGCACCTGACTCCAATCCATCATCACAATGCTTACCTGGCAATGCAATTATCACGTCCAGCCATCATATTGGCGCAGTAATCTTACTGTCGTCTTATGTTCCCAATATATTTGGGTATTAATACTTCGATTCTGAGACTTTTACGTGTGGTAGGACTTTTTGTTCCACTTCTTAGCAAAGAATTCAAGGTTGATGTGATAAAACCCTCAAGTCGAGAGTCTCTCACAGCGACAATATCACCAGAAGAAGCAGTTGATACCCCAGAAAGTAGCTGCAAATCTCCCGTGCGCTAGCAGATGCTCGTGTCACAAAATTGCCCTCACTTCACGGCCTCGATACTTCGAAGGAATGTTTTGCATGTTCGGGATGGCTGGTAGCCATTCTGATTATCGCCGGGTGTTTGATTTGAGTTACTTGAATCAATTTAGTGTGTCCGTATCGCATTTCCTGAAATATCTGGGCATGCGATATGGAGGCGGGGTAGGTTGTGAATCATAGAAGAACCTGATCTAAATGTCACTCTTTAGAGTTTAATTGAATAACCAATACTTTGTTTCTATGATATTTTAGCTCACATACAATGTACCAAAATCAGAGTAGCGTTTATCGTCGTGTATACTAATGCTTGAGAATGTCCACAATAAATTGAACTAACTACAAAGCCTACCATTCGCGCATTGAGATGGTACAATTATCGTTCTGGTCTTCTACTGACGTGTCTATTTTAAGGTTGATATACGCATGCGGGAAGTAACTGTGACTGCATGATGACATGTATAGTACCTGCAGTAAGCACTTTGAAAATCATGCATGACTACTCTGAATGACAATCGCATTCCTTTCTTTTTTGGGAATTTATCTATCCATGTTCCTAGAGTTCGACATCAAGTGTGCGCTAGTTCTCCA